TCAATCTCGTTTTTTGTTCATTGCAATCCTATGTCAACTCTCCTAGTCTCATTTGCTACATTTCAAAATACACTTAGTCACCTCATTCTAAACCAAGTCACTCACTATTTATGTCTACATCCCAAATACTTCCTTCTAACCTGCATTCTTAAAAGTTATTTGTAGTTCATTATGTAGGTTCTACATCTTGTTCTATCAACTCAAACCCCTTTGGTACTTTTTTAATACCCATTCAAATATATATTAAGAAGTATCACACCGTATAAATGGCACAATAATTATCGAATTACAATCAACCCAACTATGAGAGACCGGGGAAGCGGTAGCAACAGAGACTAGATTGATGGCTACTCCCATCTCTAATTATAAAGCAGTAAGAATGATGGCCCATTTCTTGAAACAATGCTACAATATCAAGCACCATTAACCTATATTAAGCAGGTAGGCTATCATCAAAAATAATCTTAAATCACAACATAATAACCTATCTAACTCAGAATAAGGAAGATATCAATTTGACTATAATTTGGTCCATGAAGTTATTAAACTCTCTTTATATATATTTATGTACCAAATCAAAAGAAATCCCAAAGTTCCTCTTGAAAACAATATTTAAATGAAATAAATGGGGACTCATTCTGCCATTCTTCTAATGAATTGTGCACGTGTTAGGCTTTATTGGGAAAAAATAAAGCATGCCTACATGTGAGGGGACATGTTAGAAGATAATTTTTTAAATAACATATGTATGCCTTTTAAAACATTAAGATCAAGTGGTTCAACAATACAAATCATGTTGCCTTTTTCATTCTCATCTCCAAAGCCAAAATTTTCATGTACTTTGCGGTTCTTCTTGGGAAATGGGAAATCTAATTCAAGTCTCACTACTACAATTACATGGATGACTTCCAAAATTAGGATCTGAATGACAGGAAAATATGTACAGATGAAGTCAAAATATGTTCTTTATATAAATATATATAGGCCAACTATTCAAGCTTGCTAAATGATATGTTGCATCCTAAGCTTTTCCAACAACCTGTGAAAGTTATACTTTTGTTAGCACTTCGCAAGCTGTTTTGAGGATGATAAATATGCATAATCAATGGCGGAGCCG